GAAACGGAAAATATAATCCCCATCCCAAACCCGCCCTGTTGCCATTCCTATTAGTGCGTGAGTTGCCGCGTCACCCAACTATAACACACTACCTCTACCCACAAGAACKCTTCCCACGTTTACCTATAACACACTACCTCTGCCCAGATGAACTGTGGCTGCGATGTTATGTGGGCAGGAGATCCGGACTCTAATATCTTGCTGTTTATCCTCAACGGCGTTATCTTGTTTGAACGTGGATATCGGAAAGACGTCACCCAACTAGACTCCTCACCGCTGGGCGCTGGCATATATATATATATCATCTCCTTCGTCGCTAACCAGAGGACGGAGCCACTGATCACGGGGGCGGCTGAGTTGTCGCCTTGTCGGGAGCGTTGGGAGAAGTAGTGGGCCTGTGATTTGCAATGGTGACGTTTGATCAAATGCTTCTTTTAAGAGGGGATTGGTGATCTTTGGTGCTTGTGGTTGAGTTTCTGCCTTGACGATAGGAACCAAATGTTACAGAACTTTGCTCCCAAGATGATTGAACGAGTTTTGAGCCAAAAATGATTCACAGAATCCGTGGAGGACGATGGGACTGGCCCGACTGGGAAGGATGTTGGAAGTTGTATATCAGAGTTCCCCTTCTTTGAAGCATGACCTGTATTTACGTGTGGAATGAATTGTAGGTGTACCTACCATCTCTAATCAACCGAAATTTCTTTCGAAGTTGGTTTGCTCAATCTCAGAGATGAAATTCATCAGCATCTGCTTCCATGACTTGAAGTCTGCGCTTGCGTCAGCTTTGTTTATTAGAATAAAGTTATTGTAATTTGATTTGAATTGTTATTCTACATATCTGTCCAAGTCTCCCATTATACTTGAGTTCAATTTTGAACGTTCCCGCTAAGGAAACTGGAGGAACTTCCGCCTCTGTTCGACGAATTGAATCAATCAATTTATTGCACCTGCCGATTAATAAAATATTCCTATCAAAGACTCAACTCAGAAAGTAGAGCTTTTTAAACCCGGGAATCCTTTCTCCTCCATTTTGGTCATTTCTCGACTATCATCGTTAGCGGCTTAGCGAACACATCGAGGGGGAGAGGAAAATAGTTATCGACTTATCGTTTATTCGTTTTCATCATCAAAGAAAGTGAGAAACGTGCAAGACAGAAATGGGTGGATGCTTTTCGGACATTAAGGGAGGACAACAAGCTATAGGAGGCAACCAGCCTAGGCCTAGCGCCATGAACAGTGATCAGGGGGATGAGCACAATGATGCTGTTGATTATTTCTACCGTTCTCGCGGTTTTTACGCTCTTTTCACGCAACTCGAGGTATATTACAGTCACCATTGATCCTCCATAAACCCTAATTTTAAGTTACTTCTCTGCTCCTTCCCCGGTTTCTCCGCCCCATGACCTCTATACATAAATTATTTTTGATTTAGACATTTTTACATGTGCGTGTGTTTGTCTGTGCCTGTGTTCGTTTGTACATCGCATGTGGGTTTTCTACCTTCGATTTCCTTCTCGGTCCTTTTTGATAAGTGTATGCTCGTGTGTTTGTTTGTGGCGCCGAGAGTCTGTTTTGGTGTTTGTTTTTTGGCTGTCTATGTTGATATATGTGCTTTTGAGCCTCCATTTTTTACTCTGTTTCAGAGAGAGGAAACCATGTTTGTGTCTGTTGACTTCGTTGATCTTTCTGTATGTGTTTCTGTAACATTGATTTTTGTAGTCCTTTTTTTGTTTGTATATGCGTGTGTTTGTGTGTGTGGGATAGATGGATAGATAGATGGTGTTGGGAGAAATAGACTAACTTCTGAAGGAAAAGTAAGCTTGTTCTTTCGAGCTAAATAAAACCGTGGTCTGTTTAAGGATGTAATTCACTCATCCATGTAGTGTGGGTCCGCATTCCTCTTGCAGGTCATGGTGTGCTGATCAAAGGGGGCCACAATTGAAAACTACTGGAGAATTTTTCTGATCGGGGGACCACATTCAAAAAACAGTAGAAGAGTTTGGGGCTTAATCAATGGACGATGGTGTGAGCACAGTTGTGCTCACAAAATTGTGCTCAGACCGTTCTAACAACCCTTTTCAGCTGTGTATTGGGAACATCTCCCATGAATAAAAAGATACTAAGTATGGAGTTGTTCCCAATGCAGGGTTGAAAAGAGTTGTGAGAATGGTGTGAGCACAGTTTTGTGACTACTGAATCCGCCCCCGTACTACATGGCAGTGGGAGTCTTGTACCATGATGAGGCTAAAGTTAACCACAAAATAAAAAAAAAAAGGTTTTAGACATGATACATCTTTGATGACCATTCAAAGAATTCAGACAAATGACCAAAAAGAACCCATGGATTTAAAAATAAGAAAATTGAATAGCCTAAATTATTTCGAGTTAATTCCTACTTTGTAAATGGTAACTTCTTTTGCCCACCATAAATGACAAGCTTCCTTGATCAATAGCCTAAATTATGTTGATTTTTTATGCCTGTGGGCCAACTTCATTCAACTAAGGAATATTTAGTTCACCACTTATGTGGCATTATTAGATCATGGACTAAATGCTGGGGAACATCAAGTAGTACCATCGCAGTTGATGTGTTCAAATTTGAGATGAGGCTGTCGTGTGAAGCAGTACTCCATATTGTCACCAGAAATGAGCTTTATCCCTTGCAATTTATTGGAGTTGCATATGGCTTTTGCCAAATTGAGAATATCAAATCTCAGAGGCAGCAATGATGGCTGTGGATGCGATCATAACACTCGAATTGGCAAAATGGGACATGTGGCTTTGTTTTTATTCCCCATTACTTCCCCTTATTCCCATGGCCTTGGCATATACTGTAGTTTTACTGGGAATGTCCTTACCTTCTACTCTGTTAGTTATGATCCATAGTGTAGAATGGTTGATGTTAAGATCAATAGAATGCTTTGGGTGGGACTTTCAATCGACTTTGAAAGTTTGTTACGTAGTTTGACTTTGAATTCGATTGTCCCAGATTTGGATGTTAGAACTTGCATCAGATTAATAATAGAATTGGATGTGGATTTATTCCCATCCAATCTGATTAAAAAACCTCAGTCCAATAAAACATTATTATTTTATATATGTACGTAGTATAATTATTTATATAAAGTTTATCATTTTTAAATTTAATATTTTATATTTATATACATTTATTGTGCATGTATAAGTTAAAAATTATTAATTTCTAAAACTTCTCTAACTTTTTTGTCATTTTAAACACAATAGCATGGGTGCAGATTAAATCCGAAATCCTATATGAAATTTGACATGTTGGATTCAGATATAAGGTTTGATAATTAGATGTAGATGTGGATTGAGGTGATCTGAAATTCTGAATCTGTATCCAATCTGATTACAGCCCTATCTATGGGATCAACTTAATAGAATGTTGTATGTGATCTTAAGAATTGACAACTTCATTTAGGGCATGTAATGTGCTATATGCACTAAAGAGGGAGAAAAGGGAATATATAAACTAGCAAAGTTGAGAGAAAGGAAAGACATAGATTTAAATCATCTTAGGTGCATTAAAGAGGAACATCAAAGAGTATTGGTAAAAGACGGGAAAATCAAGCAAAAATGGGAAAACTATTTTGAAAAATTATTAAATGAACACGTAGAGGACGCTAATGGAGGAGAGACTAGTAATACAAATTGTGTTAAAAACAATATATACTTTTGTAAAACAAGAACTACTAAAGTTAAAGAGGTGCTAAATAAGATGAAAGGAAAAACGTTAGGACCCAATGAAAAGATATGAGAGAGGTAGGCTTATTATGACTAAGTATGCTTTTCAACAAGATAATGAAGGAAAGAAGATGTTTGATGATTGAAGAAATAGTAGTACAATGCCTAAATTTAAAAATAAAGGTGATATACAAAGTTTTTTTAAGGTGATATACAAAGTTGTAATGACTATTGGGGGATTAAGCTCTTGAGCCAAAGTATGAAACTTTGGGAGAGAAAATTGATCATAGAGTATGCTTGATCAATTTGGGCTTATGCCAAGGAGATCAACAATGGAAGCTATCTTTCTTTTGAGAAGGTTGATAAAAAAGTTTAGAGAGAAAAAGAAAGATCTCCTAGAGAAATCATATGGTAAAGTTCCTAAAGAGATAATATGGTGGGTCTTGGAAAGGAAAGGGTTTCAAAATAGGTATATAGACCTAATTAAGGATATATATTATGGTGCAATAACCAATGTTAGAACTCCTGTGGGAAAGACATCAGATTTTACAATTACAATGGGTCTTYGCCAAGGTTCATCACTTAGCCCTTATTTATTTGCACTAATCATGGATGAATTGACTAAACATATTCAGGAGGAGGTCCCATGGTGCATGTTATTTGTTGATGACATCGTTTTAATTGATGACACTAATGAAGGATTAAATGCAAAATTAAACTTATGAAAAATGCTTTAGAAATAAGAGGTTTTAATGCAAGTTGGATTAAAACAGAATATATGACATGTAAATTTAATAACAAAGGGAGTGTAGATCAGGGTACACTGTTAGAGGCACAAGGGGGCAGGAACTACAAGTATATTCTAGAAGGAGAAGAAGGCCACCTCAGCATAAGGAAGCCAGTACAAAGACAGCTGGAGTTAATTGAATCAAACAAGTTGGCAAGCTATAATTCTGTTGTAAATCAGTTAAGGCCACCTCAACATAGCCAGTACAAAGACAACTGGAGTTAACTGAACCAAACAAGTTGGCAAGTTATAATTCTGTTGTAAATCAGTTACACTGAAGGCAAGATTGAATATAAATACAGAGGTGTACTTACAATAAGGGAATGATAAGAAGATTTGATCTCTTTCTCTCTTCATTCTCACTTTCCCCTATTCTGGAGGTTATCCTCCCTCGAAGAGGATCTGAGTTGGGCTGCTACCCAACAATTGGTATTAGAGCTTGCAACAAGCAACACCATGCTGAGTACAAGGTCAGAAACATTGGATGATTGGATGGATCGCATGGAAGTCCATTTGCACAAGACCATAGGAGACTTACAAGAAATCAAGCAGACACTAGCCATGTTGATGACACAGATGGAGAAAAATTCAATGGAAGAAAACCATGATGGCTACAAAGAAGGAAACAACAGAGATCAAGGAGGCGGTCAGCGTGGTTGGGCCTCAACTCGTTCAGCAAAACTGGATTTCCCAAAATATTCAGGTGAGGATCCCATACCTTGGATCTATAGGGCAAAAAGGTATTTTGAATACCATGATACACCTAGCCATCAAAGAGTTCTTGTCACTTCATTCAACCTTGAAAGAGAAGCAATGTTGTGGTTCCAATGGTTCTGGCGAACCCATCCACAAGTTTCTTGGTCTGAATTCATAGAAGCTCTGTGCATCCGTTTTGGACTCACTGGATTTGAAAGCTATGATGAGAATCTCTCGAAACTCAGACAAATTGGATCTATGAGAGATTACCAAGTCGAGTTTGAAAGATTGTCGACAAGGGTTCATGGATGGCCTGAAACTGCATTGCCTGGCTGCTTTATCGGCGACTTGAAGGAAGAAATAAGAATAGAAGTGAAGTCCCTCCAACCCACCTCCCTATTGGTGGCAATGGGTTTRGCAAGAATGCAAGAAGAAAGGTTTAATCGACTGAAAACATTGGTTGACCGAACACATTCAACTCTAGACCATAGTCTTGGAACTGACAACTAAACCAACCAGGTAAATCCTTCTATCCTGGGATCCAGCCCAACAGTCACAAGAAATCAGACCCATGGGCAGGCTGAAAATCCTCAACCTAAGGCCCAAACCATTATACCTGCCCTAGTGCCATTAAGAAGATTATCTTGGGCCAAGACGCAAGCCTGAAGAGATCACAGTTTTTGTTATAACTGCGCTGATAAGTTCGGTCCAGGCCATAAATGTAAGAATCCCCAACTATTCTTACTATAGACAGATGAAGCTGAACCTTGGGAGGAAATCCCTTACACACCCATTGTGATACCTACTGAATTAGAATCTGAGGATGGGCTAGACCCACCCGAGATATCCTTTCATGCATTGATAGGAGTATAGGACTTACCTCCACCCAGACAATGAGATGGCTGGGTCAGTAAAGGGCCGGGCAATTTTAGTTCTAATTGATAGCAGGTCATTTCTCAACTTTGTGAGCCAAATGGTAGCCAAACAATTAGGCCTAACACAAGAACAGTTGTTACCATTCAATGTACATGTAGCGGATGGCAACAACATCAGCTGTGATAGCTAGACCTGTTCATGGGCCGGGTAGCCTGATGGCCCGACCCGGCCCGGCCCGCACCCCGGTCGGGCTTG